CTGACTCCTCTATCTAAGCGGGGGAGAGGCTCGGAAAGCCCTTTCCTCCCAGGTCTCGGATGTAAGACCAGTTTCGCTGCGGAAACAGGTGGAATCCTTTATGGATATCAAGCTGAACATTGTCAGCAGGGTCCGCGATGCCATGGCAGCGGCCCAAGATAAACAAAAGGAGTACTCAGTCAAACAAGGAAGAGGAAACTTAAGTATCCATGAGGTTGGGGACTTAGTGTTGCTAGACACGAGGAACCTACCTCTAGACACTGTTAGCTCTGTCGGCAGCAGCAAACGGAAGCACCGCTTCATCGGACCTTTTGCAGTCCTGGCCAGACATGGTGCGTCGTACACCATCGACCTTCCAAAGTCAATGACGACGCACCCGACGTTCTATGTCGGACGTCTTAAGCGGTACTTTGACCCGCAGGGGGTTGCTGACTCGCAGATCCCCCTTGACCCAGCTCCTCGAAGCGAGGGCCGGTCACAGTCGTCGACGAGGGCGTCGGAGCAGGCACCCAAGTCTCGGTCGGGACGGCAAGGCTGCGGTCAAGACCGTACGCCGGAGGGGCTCCATACGAACGGACCTCGGCGCCATACGCCGAGTACGCTGAGTACGCCGGGTACGAACCATACGCGTACGTCTGGGAGTGTGCCGCAGGCGGCTCCGGACGTGGCAACAAAGCCTCGATCCGTCGGATCATGCAAAAGGCCTCGTCCAGATCGGACGAAGAGGCCCGACGATCCACCCGCAGGTGCAGGCTCGCAACCTCTCGCTCCACCAGGTCCAGGCGACCCGCAAGACGAGCGAGCTCGCCCTGATTCCCGGCCTGGGCGGCAGCATTACCGCCAGTCCCAAGGCCAAGTGCAATCTCAAGCATGAGGACACGTTGACGGAGGCGGTCAACCTCAGGGTCCCGTGTCGGACCCGCAGTCGGAGCACTCGGACGAGAGTGGCTCTCGGGAGGCGCCGAGTACTCGTACTCGTACGAGGGCACCTCCGCCCCTGCTTGACCGGAATGGAGAAGTCCACTTCCACGTGGAGCGGATCCTCCAGGAGCAACGGTGTCGCGGTAAGCGACAGCTCCTCGTGAAGTGGAGGGGTTATGCCCACTCCGAGAACTCGTGGGAGCCGATTAAACGACTCCTGATTGACTGCCCGAAGGCTGTCGCAATCTGGGAGCTTCATAAGTAGTCCGGGGCTTCTTGCCCGAACGGGGTACGGACGATAAATACATACCGTACCCGCGCTCATCGTGAGCGCTAGAAGCCGCGCGCTTCAGGATGTCCCTTAGCAGCATACGCTTGCTGATCAAGTGGGCAAACCTCACACGAAGATCATGCTGGTCCAGGATGTGGGACAGTTGCTGATCTTCATGAAGTTCCCATAACTCCGTGGGCGAGTACTTGAGAGTCTCCACCCACGCCCAGAACATGTCCTCACAAGAACTCCACGTGGGACAGTTCTCGGGCATAACCCAGGGGTATCCCCAAACCGGATAGAGACCACCCCGGGTCTCGGGCTTCTTACGACAAGTCGTGAAGTCCTTAAGGGGAATGCGGTGTGGCGCGAGAAGCACACACCGAGCAGCCTCCAAGTTGTCGACGAACAACTGTTCTTTCTTGAACAAGGGCTCGTTCATAGACGCCCCTCGAAGTGTGGCCGCCCACAAGGCCACGAGGGGCGACGAGGACCTCTAAGAAGAGGTCAGCCCCAGAGCTCTCCTCGGGAGGCCAATACCCTCTTGAGTTGATGACAGCTCCCTGGCTGACGGGTGCCGCCACCGAACCCCCACGCACACGCTGGGCAGCTTGGAAATCCTCCTGCTGCTGGTCGAGGCCATTCGAGACCTCCCGGAGCTCATCAATAGCACCCTCCTCCTCCTCTTCTTCTTCCTCCTTCTCCTCCTCTTCATCCGAGGAGCCGAAGAGACTCTGATAGGAGCGTCGAGTCTCCTTCTCCTCGCGAAGTGGAGACTTAGAGGCTGTACGCTTCTTTGAGGGCTTGGCGCCTTCGGCCTTTGAGGCCTTAGCACGCGCAAGACCCTCGGCAAGCGAGAGACGTTTGCGAGGATTCTCTTCCTCATCGCCACCGGCTTTGGGAGCACCCTTAGCCTTGACGGCCGGACTCTCAGAGCGCACAGAGGTCCTGGGACTGTGATCACCGTGATCACTAGCGAGCGACTGCACGCTGTCATCTTGGGCTCACTGGGCACTGGGCTGTGCCCTCCTACAGAGCCCGCAGGAGCATCATGAGTGCTCTCGGACTCGGCATCGTCTTCACTGTCCGAGTTGAACTCACGTTCTACGAACCGAGGGTTCGGACGATTGTCTGAAGATGAGGGCGACGGACTGCGGCGCCTGCTTGCGCGCTTGTCCACAGCCGCGTCACCCGAGGATCCGATCGCCTCGGAGGCCACCTGAGTAGCCTCCTTGAGTGCAGAGCCTTTGCCGTGAGGCTTAGTGCTCTTGGCTTGCGCCTTACCGGCAGCCGCCTTGGAGCGTGTCTTAGCACCGCTCTTTGCAGTGCCACGAGGCATGATAACGGTCGAAGTGGAGACCTAGACGAAGAGCGCACAGGTTGCTGCTCGAGGCTCTAACTGTGAAGTGAGCCTCCGCCGCGCTCGCGCGGCCAAGTCGATGGTTTTCGACTTTGAGAATGAGAGTTTGTGACGAACACCTCTTCATTCTGATTGGTCGGTAAACCGAACCTAAGTGGGGGAGATGTAACGGGGTACGTAGCCCTAAGTGTGCCCTGGTTACACGAAGTATGACACGTCATACTTCGGGATATTTGGTACAAAGTACCAAGGTCGTTCAAAGCCAACCATTGGTTGCATTTCTATAGGTGACTTATAGTTTGTATTAAATTCAAACTTAATCTACGAA